ATGTGATACCTGGACATCTCTCTCTCAATTACAATTCCTATTATTTATTTCTATGTCTCTTCCTTAAAAATAGTTTTCCTGTCTTGACAATAGATAAGCGACTTAGAGAAATTATGTTCTCTGCATGTCAAAAGTAAAATCAAAAGCTTTGAATTTGGTCAACGTGGAACTTCAGTACGTTTTTTAACAGCCCGTTTCCATTTCCATTATTCCTGACTGACCGATAGACTGACAGATGTCTTACTTTAGAGATCCCAAACAGACTATTGGTATCTATTTCAGCCACATCTGTTCCTAAATAGCCTTGGCAACAGGCCACTCTGCCCTCGGAATTAATTTTAAGTCCTTTATTGCTGACTCTTTCACTGTTGAAATATATCAGTGATTTTTTTTCCTTATTGCTGCACTTACATAGAATATTTATAAATCTATACTTTAGATGAATATCAGCAAGAGCTGTAGTTTACTACAGATAAGAATACTATACTTAAACAATACATTGATTTTACTTCATTATGAAAATATATATTCATGTTCTTTTTTAATTCATTATGAAATAGATATTCAATATTACATTAACCTCTGAATTGCTCCAGAGATTTTATTTTTCTTATTGGTCAATTAACTTAGAAAGTATGTTCAATTACTTTTATTTAAAAAGCAAGTTTTATCTAAATTATTACTATTATTATCCAAATAGTCAGACCAGGCTGCAAGCTGTCAATCAGAGAATAACTTCATATACCCTTCAGTCTATTACATACACACACAAGAAATTACACTTATAAAGTTTTTCATAGTGATCAAAAGCCTCCAGACTTCACATACTGGTAAATCACTGAACAAGTGCCAGTCTTGTTATACTTCCTATCTGACAGAAATCTGCTGGAAAACTGCAATTACTGTTAATCAGGAAACTCTGTGGCAATCTTTAAAAACACACTGAAGGCTTTAAAAAAATATCAGGATTAAACTTCCCAATCAACAGCAAAAAACAGGCCACACGCATAAAGAGGATTTGACACTATTTGTATTGAAACTGTTCTAAAATACAAATGATTCCCACATTCACTGCTGCTAATCCCCTACATTTCATTAGTTTTTAAACTTTACCCACACACTCACAAAATCCTGAGTATTTGTTCCTAAATAAAAATATTTTTTCCCATCCTTCAGTCATTCTTCTGAATTTCTGGGAACTCTTAAAAATCACATATAATATTCAAATCTGTACTTAGGATAGCTTTCTCTGCTATAGTTTTAAAGCAGCACTGAAAACAAGAAACTACAGTTCAGGGCTGGATTATTAATAGGACAGAAGTTTTGCCTTCTTCTTAATTTCCATTAATATAGCATAGAAATGCCACACAGAAAGAAGCTAGAGAAAAAAAACTAGTAACTACCGACTGTGAGCTCTACTTCCCCTTGCAGCACCCCCGCACTGTTAAAAGCAAGCAGCCAGCTCTGGGCCAGAGGGTATCTGGCTCTGGTGAGAAAAAAAAGGCTCAGCTGAGCTGCACACCCAGGCTGTAGCTGCAGCATTTCAGAGGGAGCAGCTGAGCCATGCCTTACACTGTCCAAATTCCCACTTGACACATTCACTCACTCCCCCCCAGGCTCCACACCCAGTTGCCTGCTCAGGCCTTACTTCTGCCCAAAGCTTTGTTATAATAAAGAACATACAAAATTCATAATGAGTCATGCTTGAGAGGGGAGAAGACTTTGCTGTAGAACGAACAACAAAGGAAGCCATTAAAAATCATCAGCAAACAGGGGTAGCCAAAAACCTCTAGGAGAGAGAAGCTGCAGAAATCAAAATGGAGTAAAGAATGAAGTCCTCCTGACAATCACACTGCCTAAAACCCCATAGAAACAGTGTAATAGGGCAGAACTATGCATTTATCAGTGGGACATGATGGGGTCCAGGCACAGCAGGTGTTGCCTGCTTGGGAACTTTGAGCTGGAGCTTTCAGTCCTATTTAGAAGCCAAAGGATCCAAGGCTGCACAAACATACAAAACATGGAAGAGCACAGAATTGGAACTGTAGAACTGTGGATGACAAATGACAACTGCAGTAAGACAGGAATACATTTGGGGAACTCTTGGGGATGGGAGGTTAGGAAAAAGGGAAGAAAGCAACTACCAGTTCTTTGATTTTGACAGACCGGAGAGATTGTCATAGAAGAAAGATCTTTTCCTAAAATAGGGAGAATTACTACATACAAGTCCAAGCAGGAGACATCACTGGCAAAGCACAAAGACCTGACTTGACCTCTTAGAGCCTAAGCAAACTACATTAGGAAGCTTTTGGTTTGGAGAAAGTATGCATAAGCCAAATCCCAATGGAAATACTTGTCCAGACAGCCATTAACCATCCCCGAACGCTGCACTGCTGTACTTACGAACGAGACCATAACACAGATGGCTTGTCCCAACACCAGTACAGATCCCACACTTAAAATACCCCAGGGTAATTGCTACTGGGATCCAAGAATGAGGCAGAAAAGAACCCATTCAAGCTCCAAAATCCATATTTGACTGCTGCAACTGCAGAGGTAAAACCACCCTGACCAATCATATCCAAGATGGAAGGAAAAACAGACAAGACTTCTGTTGAATTCATCCCTCTGAGAGCAACAAGCCTCACACGGTGAAATTTCCAGTTCCTACTCCACTCATCCTCAGTAACAGGCAGGCACACACAGAGCCATGCTGGCTCAAAGGAAGGAGTCACAAGTATTCTTCAGAATGCTGCTTGGGTAGACCATTGTGCTCCAATCACAAAGTGAACGGAAGGATGGAAGGGCCTTAGAAACAGCCTAATAATTTTCCTTTTAAAATTATTTCTGTCTCCAAAATATCCTGGAACAGAAGCAGATGACAAAACTGTGGCACTTATGGCAACAGAGAAACTGAAAAACCCTTTATCTTCAATATCAGCATTTGACATTTAAGAATTTGAAAATCCTACAGTAAAAACTGATCTACCACAGTCTTCAGGAAAAACCTAGCATTTGGAAGACACCACTGTCTTTTCCACTAAAGCTAGTAAAGAAGTAGGACATCAAGAGCCTCTCAAAAATCAAAATATTCAGCAGCTCAATGCTAAGTAGTACAAAACCCAATTGTCAGAGAGAGAAGTAACAGCATATATTTAATACACAGGCAGTAAAAGCCCAAATTCTGATACCATTGACAGCAATTTGTTAATGCTGTTCTCTGTAAGACTCCTGAAGTTCTGCTATCTGCTATATCTCTGACTTTAAGCACTGAATATTTCATTACCTTGCAGGAACTAAGAAAAGTTTCCAATGTCTGCATGAGTAATCTAAGGATGAAAAACTTACACAAAGTAGCAATTTAGGGGAGTGAATTTTCCCTAGGAAAAAAAACCCACAAACCAAGCCAACCAAACCAAACCAAACCAAACAAACACACACACACAAAATCCCAAATCGCAGAATATACTCCCCATTCTGGAAGCGTGAAGCAATATATACAAACATTTATTCTTCTTGTCTGTACCTTAAAATCCTTCACTGGTGACAATTAAAAGACAATCACGAGCCCTGGTTCCTGATATATGGCAATTCAACCTACATTCAAGGAACCAGAACATAAAGTGGCAATCACATTAGAACTAATCACATAGAACTAAGTAATTAATAAATCATACTACAGATCATATACACAGAGACCTGTAGCTAATCCCAAAAGGGAAGGAAGAGAGCCCACAGCATTCCTAAGGCACCCAGACTGGCTCCACACGAGGAAGGACTGTACGCGCACACCAGTGCGGGGGTCACCAGAACCCAGTGGTCCTGCTGAAAAGCAGGTATGTAAGTCTGAACACAGCACTATATTAACATGGTTACACTATTTGGAGGAGAGGACTCAATAGCAGTGCATGGCACCATATTTGTTTGGTTTCAGTAGCTCTGGTATCCCAGCACAGTTACATGAAATGAAGCATAATGACTTCAGCCGTGAGCATCTCAGTATTTCTTTGCAGCAGCTGTACTGAAAATGCTTCCACATGCCTCCCAAGCCTCTGCAGCATACAGACTATCTTGAAAAGAAAAAGATCATCATAACATAGAAAAACTAGTAAGTGAAAGAAAATTTGTTTCTCTCTATGCTGACTTTATGGCTGTTGGATCTTATCTATATGAAGTTTTAAGTTCTGCCCAAAATACTATTAACATTAACCTGGTCTTTTAAGCATGGACAAGTTAACCACAGCATACCAGAAGACAAATATGCTGTCTGGAAACTGCATTCCTGAATACAAGTTTAATTTCTCCTTCACGTGAGCACTGAGAGGTCACTGAAGTAAATAAGCACCTTTAAGAGCATGTATGCAGTTTTAAAGTAAATTTATGTTTTCACAGTTTCTAGAAGAAACATGACTATAGGGATAAGTTCAAGAAGCACTCCTTTCCTTCTAAAACTTTTATGTATAATTTGTTTCACTTGATCAAATCCTTTACCCGCACTTTCTCAGTGTGTTGCTGTGTAGAGCAATGACGACCTGCCACAGAAGCCTCATCACAAAACGCAGGTGGATCACACAAAACAATACCCATGTGCTCTAATTTATGTACCTGCCTGAGAGAGTAAGCAGGGAAAAGTTGATGCAGCAGAAATAAAATCAAATCCTCTTACTGCTATGCCTGATCCACCAAGTATGACCCACCAAGAAGGAAAAGTTCTTGCCAGAAAGAGGTGGTTCAGGTACAAGACGCTCATTGCATTACGCGCAATTTCTTTTTCCTTTTAATCACCAGAGTAACCTTGAAAGGAAGAGACGCGCCTGACACCGCCGCCTTTAACCACTTTACTGTAATCCTGTTCTAAGGTGACTCTGCCCCGTCCTGCCCGGAGAGCCCCCGCTCTCCCCGGGCCGTCCCGCCGCCCGCGCCCCGCAGCACGGCCTGAGCTGAGCCCGGCCCCGCGCTCCGGCCCCGGGGTGGACACCCCCTGCCCCGCCCCGTCCCACCTGTGGGGCTCTCGGGCAGGATGGGGCTCCAGCGGAGCCGCCGGGCGTTCAGCACCACGTCGCAGCTCCTCTTGTCGATCTCGAAGATGCCCCTGAGGAGCGGCTCATCCCCCGCCGGGGCCGCCGGGGCCGCGGCCAGCGGGGCCACCCTCCGCCGCCGCTCCTGGGGCGCCGCCCGGGCGCGCTGCTCCGGGCGCTGGGTCCGGGGGAGCGGGCCCGCGGCTCCCGGCATGGCGGCGGCACGGCCGCACCTGCCCCGCCGCGTCCCGGCGGCTGCCAAGGCAGCGCCCGCCCCGCCCCGCGGGCGGGGCCGCGGCCGGCCGGGGGCCTGCGGGAGGGCGCCCGTCCCGGGCCGGCGGCCGCGGGCCCGGCAGTGCCCTCGGCGGCAGCGGCGGGACAGAGCGGTCCGACCGCCGGGGCCGCGCTGAGCCCCTCCCGGCGCGGGGCGGCACCGCCGCTTCCGCCCCGCGCACGGCCCGGACCCCGCGCCAGGTGCGGTGCTCCGCGCGGCAACAGTGGGAGCGGCTGAAGGCACCTTGTCATCCCAGCGCTGTGTTCTCTTCTGTTACTTCCCCCAAGAGAGCAACGCAGGAACGCTTCAGCTACAGAAATTACTTTCCCTTGACAGGGTCCTACGTCTTCCACTTTTCTGTTATCATTATTATTGTTATTTAGCTTCAGAAAACTACGGAGTGAAGTTCTAATAGCCCTTTCATACTAAAAAGGCTAAAATCTTTCACAGGTTGTGACTATGACATAGGCTTAATGTAAATACCACGCTGGCATTCGTGCTGCAAAACAGTATTGCCGTAAACCTGGGTGGAGGTATCACAATTATGCCCTTCATTCCCAAGGACTGAGGAACACCATAACTCAGAGTCTGATACCAACTTGTACAACAGCTCCTGTATCAAGTGGACCAATGCAGAAAGTGTACCCAGAAGAGTTGCATAATCATCCCTCACCCTGAAAGCTTAAATGCAGAGGAGGGAGACCACTTTGCTCCCGCTCTATAAGTGATAGACTTTACTGACTGGAGGTATGACAGCTTTACTCACAGGTCCTATAAGATTCACTGATGACAATCATCTTAGAGCTGCAGCATCAACTCTCAATTTATAAGGTGCTCCTGAGCCTGTAAGGGCTAAACTTGTATATATATAAAGTTTTATAATGTTATAGTGGCTCATTAATGCATAAAAAGGGTATTTTTAAATGAGAGCTTCAGTAATTTTATCTTTAGTGTTTGTAACAAGACAAATGTAAATATGCCTCTGAGAAACAAAGCAATACATTGAAAATACTGCCTTTTGCTGAGAGATACAAGTTATAGTTCAAACAAGTTACAGTTCAAACTACATGTCAGAATATCCAAGGCTCTTCCTGTGATGTTTTTCACTCTAGAAGAGAAATGGTGTTATAGGTAAGAAAATCTTATTGCAATCAAAGCAGCCAAGAGTTCATGAGATGATACATGATCTCAAGACTATTAAGCTGCCTTCTTTCATAGTTCCATAAAAACTAGTACAAAGCTACTAATTATGTAGCTGAGAAGACAGGCTTAAGAGACATTTCAAAAGTCTCATGGTAAACTTTCTGACACTTTAAACATGGGAAAGTAACAGATGGAAATAAGTAAGTTCCAAATATTGTTAAATATGCAACCTCTAAGTGCTTTTCAATTTGCATCAAGCCACCAATATAGCTTTCATGGAAATACAGCCCACACTGATTTGCTTTTCTGAATTACAACATAACCACAAAGTTTCTCCTTTCTTAAAGCTGTTAGCATCAATAGTTCTATTTTGACTTTGTCTCAATATTTTTTGTCCCTTAGATCTTCTTTGTTGGGATATAAATATTTCAACTCCGGAATAATCAGATAATATATAAATGAGTGAAATGGTGTATAAACTGTGGAATTTTTGTGCAAATTTTTCTTTTTTTTTTTTTTGATGCTTAAAGATAACTGCGTGACAAGGCAGGAAAAACTGTGAGCCAAACAAACAAGCTTGGCTTAACAAACTAGCATTCTGCTACAACAGTAGATGAACCAATTAAACTTGTGTCTGTTATTTGATATCAGTGATCTTAAATGTGTTTACAGTGATGTCATTCAAAAGGAAAGCTAAATCATTAACTAGAATACAAAGCACACCATGGAACTAGATACAGTCAAATCACTTTTGAGGCTGTATGCCCTTTATAATCCCCTGCAGTCATTTGTTTGGGTTTTTTTCTGAGATTGTTTATGAGCCTACACCATATATTATCACCAGATAATTTCTCATAAGGTACAGGAAAGGATAAACTGATAACTGGCTTAGAACCATAAAATGATAATATTTTCAGTACTGTCAGTTGAAGACTATCGCAGTTCCTCAGAGACTTGTAATATCCTTCAACTGATGTAATTAAAACTTCTAACACCCTTTTGTTGACATTAATTGAAAGGTGTATTCAGTCAGTAACTGTTAAGATACTAAAATGTATTAGTTAAAAACATAAAATAGTTAGAGAACTGTATATAGTAATAAAAATCATAGGAAGAACATACAAGTCTGTTCACTCTAGTTTGCTACAAATTCTCAATCCCCACAATTCTTTGTAAATCTGAGACAGACATTTTTTCCCGGGGGAAAAAATTCTAAGCAAGCCTACTTTAACAGATTTTTTTTTTTTTAATTATCACAGCTTTTGGATTTGCACATTGAATTTGGAAAAGAATGGAAAAGTCCAGAGACATAATTTTATCCATTTTTTCTAGACTGTGTCTGGAACTCACACACAGAACTTCCTTGTGCTTTTTCGTAAGAAGGGTTGTGTGTATTGATGATCTCATGTAGTATCCCATGTAATGTTTTCATACTAGAGAAAGAAAAAAAGGATGCAAAACAGCAGAATTTGTATTGTAGGCATTCAAGTAGTATAGAGCACTGAACCTACATGTAACAGCCTTGATTACTTCTACATCTTTGATCACAGACAAATTTGTAAGTGGAGCATATTGGTATCTGTGACAGCAGAATGATCAAGGGACTTTTACAAATACAATATGCTGCATGAAGAAATGGGGTGATATAGAAGACATTGCAAGCCAGACAAAGTAGCAAAAGTGTGTTCAACTTTCCTGCTGTCTCATATGCATTTTGTTTCCAGTACCTAAAAGGAGCCTACAAGAAAGATGGAGAGAGGCTTTTTACAAGAGCATGTAGTGACAGGACAAGGGGGAATGGTTTCAAGCTGAAAAAGCCTAGGTTCAGAATAGGTATGAGGAAAAAGGTCTTTGCTGTGAGGATGGTGAGGCGCTGGAACAGGCTGCCCAGTCAAGTTGTGGATGCTCCATTCATGGAAGTGTTAAGGGCCAAATTGGATGGAGCTCTGAGCAACTTGGTCTAGTGAAATATGTCCTTGTCCATAGCAGGTGGGTTGGAACCAAATGGTCTTCCAGGTCACTTCCAACCCAGGCCGTTCTATGATTCAATACCAATAGATATAAGAAAATAAAGAAGCCCTACTCTTAATAAAGAGTAAGTTGAATGACATTTTTATAATAACCCTTCAAATTAAATTTTGCAGCTCTTCAGATAGTTACTAGAGAGGTTTCAAGCTGCCCTAGAAATTGTCTTAACATTTTTGTTTGGTTACTTTGTTTTAGACAAATATCTCAAGCAAAGTCAGAAAAAAAAAAACAACACCAAAACCAAAAAAAAAAACCACAGGGTGGGGGGCAGGGGGAAGGGGACACATCAGAAAAGGAAGCAAAGCCACTGTCAAGTACAGCAAGGGCCAGCTGCTCCCTAACAACCAGGGAGCCAAGGAAGATGTCGGGCCTTGCAAGGCAAGGACCTTTCTTGGCCAGGACCAATCTGGTAGTACCTGAGCAAGGAAATCTAGGGACGGTGCTAGAATCCATCAAGAATACAGATCATCAGCCAAGTCCACAATGATGAGGCAGGTTTGGATTAGCAGAATTCATAGCCAGATCAGGGTTGCAGCCAAGTTGAAAATCAGCATCCCACAGCATCTGTAAATGTCGTATCACCAGGGTGAGCTCCAGGCCCTTGGGTGAGGTCAGTGAGGGGGATGCAGGAGCATTTACTGTCTAAATGCTAAGTAGTAAGAGTCTCAAAACTGTTTTCCAGAAGAAACTTGTGAAATGAAGAAAGAGGTAGGACAACCTGCAGCAGAAGTAGCGAGTGAGGGAAGTACAATTAGCTTTTATTGAAGGAGAGCAAGAAGGTAAGGCATGCTATTGGAAAATAGCTCCTCCCACCTCAAGAAGAATGTGTATAAAAGTGAAATGAGATAAATAGTCAGGAAATGGGAAGGCCAGTTTTTGGTTCATAGACAATGAACCTAAGAAGCTAAGAAACAGGAATTTAGACAAGAAGAGATGAAGGGATGCTGTGGGGAAAATACCTTATGCCCATTCTGGAGGTTTCAGCTGAACATTTCTGGTAGCTGGCTTGTTTTCAGTACCTAATGGAGATCTGCTTCTGGAGAAAGCTGAATTTTTAAGTTGGCAGCATACCCTTGGCTTGTATGTTTTTCTGGCTACAGTGTGTGTTTATACAATGACGGTTTAGTATATAGTCAGTTCTTCTTCAGCTGTTCATTCCCAGATATTGGCTCTCCTAAGTATGCTCCTTTCTTGCATCTCTACGTTAGAAAAGAATCTTTTGTAACTATCAATATTAATTCAGCTCTGTTGTGTTGGTTTACTGAGACTGAAAAGAAGACATTAAGCAGAACACCAAACTTTTTGGACAGTAAGCAAAGTCATAAATTATTCTGAAGGAAAATGGCATCAATGGTCTGTAGAAAAGAGAATTACTATTACTGTACATCTTTCTCTATTCTCAAAAGAGGGAAAACATTAAAAACAAGAGAAATAAAAGCAGATAAGGAAATGGACAAACATTTGCAAGAATAACAAGTGAAATTATTATGCAGGCATAAGAAGCTGCAGGAATGCAGTCTGAAATTGAAGTAATTCCTGAGACCCCTTGAACAGATATTGATCTTAATTGGAGAAAAATGTGGTAATGGGAAGAATATAAAATAAGAATGTCTTGATCAGAGGACATTGTCTTTTGTTTGCA